CCCTCCTGCCCCCAAAGATGAGTGTGTCGTGAGAGATGCAAGCATCCTGTGTTCCCACCTGGTGCCGGATGGAACAAGGAGTTAGCTGTAGGGAAACATTCGGGCAGGGTGTTCTACTTGGGCTCCTGTTCCAGACTGGGAGGGACTGGGTGGTAGAGGCTCCACCCACCCTGCACCTGTGGCAATGGAGGCTTCGGGAAGGTGGTCTGTAATGAAATGAGACGAGCTTCCTGTGGTTTCAAATGAGTTTATTAAGTAAAGGAGCAGAGAATTTGAATCTTGAGTGTCCCTTGCTTCAGGTGTGAAATCTGATTTAAAGTTACATTCATTAGAGAGGAATCGTTTCCAGTTTTTGATTAATCAAGCTGCTTCCAACTAATGAGGCCAAGGCAAGAGCAGCCACTGTGCCAGTGAGAAAACTCAGTTGACATCCTCACCTTGTCCTCTGCAAAGCAGTTGCATTAACGGGTGTTTTACATGCACCAAGAGAAAAGGATCAGAAAAAGATAAAGCAGATGAAGACTGTTGACTCAGTCACAAGAAGGCGTCTACACCAGTGTTGTGGCCACGTGAAGCTCAGCACACAGTCCTCGGGTCATCTGGTGGCTTTTCTTTGGGGAGTGCTGAATGGGGCAATCAGCAGGCTCCAGCTAGAGCATTCAGGGTTGGCCTGCGAGGAGGGCTGACTTGTGGATAGCAACAGACTCAGGAGTGCCAGTCCAGAGAGCCACTGAGCATGAGAGTGCTGTCTGTGGACCTATTTCCTGCTCTAGGCCCTGACAGTTACAGCCACCTGGGCTTGTGTAGCTACAGCTGCTCCCAGTGGGGCAGTGCTCAGGCTGGTGGGTCTTGTAAGCAGTGTTTGCTAGATACTGGGTCTCATGATGGAGGAATGATGCTACCCGATGCTACCCTTTGCACCCTGAGTCTTCAGCCTGTACCCAAGTGTCTGCCTTGTGAACTCAGAATGGTCTGGGAGAGCCATCTGTTGGAGGTAAATTGGGGTATCCCTACTTAGAGTGGATGTTGGCCCCAAGAAGGAGAGAACCCTTTGGTAGGCAAGGTTGAACTGTGTGCTCCACAGTCTGCACTTGTTTCTATTTCTCCATAGTTCAGGGGAGGCTGCAACCAACGTGAAGGTGGCTGTGCCCTTAGGACATAAGACCCTCAATAGCCTCAGGCATTACCTTTAGAGAGCTGTACAGCTCTGTTAGTGGACTGACCTTCACCAAAGTAGACAGAAAGCAGCATGCTAGCTGGCATTGTCAACAGGGAAGTGGACCAGCGTCTAGCTGAGACCCATCTGCACTAGGCGGGTTAGGACAAAGGGCAAGATGAGTCAGTCTCAAATGCTTACCCTATACTTGGGTGTTTGCATCTTGAACTGCAGTAAGGGGTGGGTGGGCTGTAGGCCAGCCCAGAAGTGAGGTAGTTGTGTGTGCCTATTTGGGCAACCTTGGAAACCCTTGACCTGTGTCCCTGCAGCCCAGCTCCTGTGTAATGTACCCACTCTCCAATTTGATGTAGTACTCTGAGGTTTAGGAAGGAACTGAGCCAAAGGAGACTGCCCAATATACATTTCGGCCTGGCCACATTGGGGAGGGGTGAAGAAGCAGACTCCAGGAGGAGCATCTGCTGGGGTCTGGAGAGTGCTAAGCCATCTGAGAATTGTGCTGCCCTTGTTCTCACGCTGCCATGAAGGCCTTGTCTAGCTCCTCAGGAGTGGGGTTGGGTCTTGGGGTCCCAGAATTCACACTGGAATGCAGCTTAGCTGTTTTTGTTTGTTAATTTCAACAAAACAGCTATACTTTTTCTTCTTTAAAGGCCAAGGTACATAAGACAGACGGTTCTTGGTATTTGGGAGACATTTAATTGTCCTGGTGGTTGTTTGACTTGCAGCTGAACCTCAGTGAGACAGTGGAGCTAAGGGAGCTAACTCATTGTAATGGTGAAGTAATGGTTCAGAGCTATGTGGTGTCAAGTGGCCTGTAGCTGTCAGTAGATCGAGGAGTGTGGAGATGTGTTGGAATCTAGTAGGTACTTTGGCCTGAGCTCCTGGGACCAGAGGCTGCAATAGTGGGAGGACCAGCAGGAAGAATAAATGAGCTTAAGCTGGAAGACGGCATCCCACATCCACTTGAGGAAGGTTACAGAGGGGATAAAACAAACAGCCAAGAGACTTTTGGAGCAGGGTAGGTACAGATATATGATAGACATGCCTGATATCTGTTGGGGTATCTGCCTAGAACTACCAGCCATTCAAGGGCTTTGGAGGTCTGTGCAGAGCAACCAAGACTCAAACCAGAAAGGACAGCACCCCAGAACCTCGTCTCCCTGAGTGTTCATCACCTATGCTTGCGACTGGGCCTCTGAGCACTCTCTGGCTCCCAGCAGTGTCTTCAGTCTCCCCGAGGGTGGCCCTGTGGTTTGTCTTAAGCTGAGCCGGTTTGTCCAGTGAGCAGGAACATGCTGGAACTGGAATATGTGGCTGCCCTCTGTTTTCCCTGGGTACTGACCTGAGGTAGCCATGGGCTGTGGTTTCTGGGATTAGTGTGGGGGAGGAGGAGCCTGGTGCGGGTATTTGTCAGTAGTTCCGCTCAAAGCAGAAACTGATGGAAAGCACTCTGCTCTCTGTGCTCCCTGAGATCCTGTGCATGACCCTTGCATGGTGGGAACTGTGTGGACTTTCTGACCACCACCGTCATGACCAGTATCCTGGGCTCTGCTGCTGTCTGGTCTGTGACACTGGGACTCCTCAGACTTGGCATTATGGTGCTGACTCATACGTGCATCCCATATGTGCTGGCATGAGCCTCCAGTGCGCAGTGCAGGACTCAGTGCTCAGCAGTGGTACAGCCATGCTGCAGGCAGGCGCCAAGGACCTGAGGTGTCTCCCACCTCCTCCAGAAAGGATTGCTCTTCATTCTGGAAGAAAGTGTGTCTGTCTTTTGAGATGGGAATGAATCTTAGTTGAAACTCATCACAATGCCAGAGTGGGGAGCCAGAGTGACACACTGTTATGTCTCTACCTATGAGCACATCCTCCTCTTGCTCAACATGCTACATCTACTCTGCCTGCAGGGAGGAGGTGGGCTCTGCAGAGAGAAGAGTAGCCACAGGCTGCAGCAAGGTGTCTCTTTCACTGCAGGACAGCTTGTTAGAGCCCAAGACCCAGTGTGCATCCCAGTCTCCAGCACCTCTACCTGGAATCCACCAGGGCTAGAGAAGTGACTTCATGCTGCATGTACTGCAGGCTGCCAGTGGAGTGCCAGGCTGGATTTGGTTCTATGGTTAACATCACTCATAGTGAATGAGTGGATGAACGCTGTCCCCCATGAGAACCTTTTAGGCACATCCGGCTGTGCCTAGTGCGTATGTCAAGGTGATGTGAGTAAACTTGCCACCTACATGAGCAGGCACTGTTCTGAACCATGCAGCTCCTGGGATGCACACTGAGTCCCTTATCTCTGCAGACAGAATTACAATCCACATAGCCCAGTATGGACGGCTCTCATGGCTGCAAAGAGCAGGAATCTTTATTTGGTTCACGCCAGATCTGTAGCAACCTCTTGATATTAAAAAAAGTGAATGGAAAAGTAAGCTGTACAAAAAGATGGAACCCTTTAGAAACACCAGAAACGCATCAGGGCACCTGCTGAGCCTCTCCCCCACCTCGACCCCTAATCCAAACCAGCCTGGGAGAAGGGACAGGCAGTGGATAGGGAACAGGGTGGGTAACGGAAACAATAAAGCTGAGTGTCGCTGGAACATGCTCTAATCTGTAGTTTATTTCTGGTTAAAAATATAGCAATCCAGTGCACTGTAGTAAAGAAATCTGCTCGAAAGGTAGCAGAGAACAGCTGAACACGAGCAAAGCAAGGCAGAGTCCATAAGACAGACGGGCTGCACCCAAGAAGACTGACGGAGCCATGGGTACCAGCCGAGCTGGCATCCCTTGTTCGTTTGTTTGGATGAGGGAACAACCCTGGTAGAGAAGGCAGAGACATGAGGAACCTGTTGTTTGACTGAAACAAGTTACATTGTACATCCGGGGAGTGCTGGGTATGCAACAGTCTCCAGGACATTCAAGCCACTGGCTTCAACCACATTCCTGTCCCGGGACCAGACTCGCTCTGGAGTAGCACTGAGGCATCTGGAGGGAATATGCATATCTGTTAGGGGTAGTTGAGGCAGGCACAGTGCAAAGATGTGAGACCCCGTGGAGGTCAGTGAGAGGTGACGTCCTCCATGGGGCGTCACGGCCAGGGACACGGAAGCCTGAATATACATCCTGCATACTAGGTGCAAAACGCCACATGCTCAGCCCAGGCGTGCTGTCAGGCTGTCCGGGGCATGTGGGCCATAGCCCCTTGGCATCAGGGCTCAGATGTGCCTGGCCAGATTGGGGTTAGCCCTGGACGTCTGCAGCATGGCCTCCCTGGGTCTGGAGGGAGGATGGCTGGACAGGGCCAACAATGAGTGAGCAGAGGGCAGCAGAGGGGACAGACTTTGCTGTAAGACTCAGTGTGGGGAGGCAGCCTCCTTAGGAGGGCATTGGGGCAGTGCCGAGAAGAGGGATCATGGTCTGTTGTGGGAAGAAGAGCAGGGACTTTCCCTCCACAGGTATGCAGCACAGACTCCATGGAGACACAGGCCAGGACACCTGGTCCCTGGCTCTGTCCCTGGGCCCGCACTCCCAGCAGCTACTCCAGACAGGAGGGCATAGGCACTCGCCTTCCATAGCTGTACTACCTAGCTGCCCCCCCCCGGCTAGACCAGCACCCTTGTGAAGGTGCCTCCTCTCCTGGCCACCTTCCACACCCGGCAGGAAACGCGAAGAAGATCCCGATCATTTGGCCGCTGGTTCGCCGGGACCCTTTCACACCAAGCTGGAGGGGTGGCATGCCGGCCTCCTCCTGCCATGCCACACAGCATCATGTTATACAAGCAAAGAGTTTTGGCTAAGATCCAAAAAACATTACCCAGAAAAAAAGGCAAACTGTGAGTGATACCCAATCATGTTGTTCTTCCGTGGAAAGACGGGAGTCGTGGGGCTGTCCGAGTCAGGATTTCCCTTTTGTTTTGCTTTTAACGTCCCTTTTGTACATCATTGCTTCCGTGGTCACAACAATCTTGTCAAATGAAAAAGTTAATAAACAAAATGGCGACTCCAATGTTGAGCAGGATCACCATGACGACCAAGATGGGAGCTGAGCCCTGGAACAGAGGACAGGTGAGTGACACCAATGCAGGACCTCATGACACACCGGTGCCTAGATGGGAGTAGCCCACACCCTAGGCAGAGAAAGCGTGCCCTCGTGCAGGACCACTCATTGGTCTCCCTGGGGGCCCTCTACACTAATCTTTACTGTGAACCTGATGGGAAGCTATTCAATTGGTCACCTGGAATCTCCCATGCTCCCTCTCCTTCCTGCTTGTAGACCTACTGACTGCCTACAGGCTGCTTTCTTGGATCCAGGTCTTCCAGCACTTTCTGAAGCCCTTAGCTCTGTCTTTCTCAGTGTGGCTCACAACCATTGCCCTGAGGGCCCCAAGACACCTGCCTGGCTGGCTGCCTGCTCCTGCACCTTGCCTTGTCACAGCTCCTGGGGACAGACTTTGCACGCGTGTAGAGGGAGGAAGCGCCACAGTCCCATCATGGTGAGGGCTTTGCATCTGCCCTTGACAGACAGCACTGCAGATGTCTCAGCCAGGCCCCATGTGTGCGGAGTGAACACATCTGACTCCGCCCCACAGCCCCCTGCATCCTCTGAGTAGACATGGTACCCGACCTCCTGACCACACGCATGCACCTTCTTGCTCATGTCCCAGACCCAAGAGATGCTACATAAAGGGGGTCTGCCAGAGACATTAAGTAGACTAAGAAGTTTGCTCAGCTAGGCTAGGCTTCAGGGAGCTTCCCCCCCCCCTTATTTCTTACTAGACACCCCAGAATGTACTCAAACTTGAGTCTCCTGGCTCAACCTTTTGAATGCTGGGGTTATAGGTGTGTGCCACATGCCTTGCTAAGCAGAGGGCTCCTTAAATAGATATATTTATTTTGTGATGCTAATTATTACATTGGACAAGTGCTTTGTACTACTAAGCTACCTTCACAGCCAAAGCTTTTGTTTTTTTTTTGAGACAGAGTCTCTCTGTAGCTTTTGGAGCCTGTCCTGGAACTCGCCCTGTAGACCTGCCTGGCTTTGAACTCACAGAGATCCGCCTGCCTCTGCCTCCTGAGTGCTGGGATTAAAGGTGTGCACCACAGCCAAAGCTTTTTTTTTTTCTTTTTTTTTTTTTTTTTTTTTTGTTTTGTTTTTTGAGACAGGGCTTCTCTGAATTGCTTTGGAGGCTGTCCTGGAACTAGCTCTTGTAGACCAGGCTGGCCTCAAACTCACAGAGATCTGCCTGCCTCTACCTCCCGAGTACTGGGATTAAAGGCGTGCGCCACCAACACCCGGCTCAGAGCCAAAGCTTAAAAAAAGAAAAATCCCCTGGGGACTAGCCAAGAAAGATCCAAGTAGCCAGTTTTGCCTGAGTCCAGCATTCCAACATTTTTCTAAACCACCTTGCTCAAGAGTGGATGGAGACCCAGGCTCTGCATGGCAGGAGGGGACAAGGAGGCTTGCCTCCAGGCCTTGATTTCACCAGGGCAGTCACCGTTGAACTGTTGTGCTTTTATGGTGTGGACTTTGGGGTATAAAGGGCCTTAACAGCTGGTTGGTCAAGAGCAGGTCCTGCCCTCTGATGCCAGCCCTGGAGTAAAGCTCCACACCCTTCTGGGCTGTTCTGTCCAGCCCCAGGCCTATAGGTTTGAGAAAGGCCAGAGGAGCAGGGATAGCTTTGGGACCAGCCCCTTATCAAGAGCTCACCTACCACCAAAGTAACTTTACCGTCAGAGGTCATCTGCAGTTGCTACAAGGTATGGAAAGTCTAGAGCAGGCAACTCCTGCTCTGCCCACCGCTTCAGAGAGGTGTGAGCCTTCTGAAGTCTTGGAAGGCTAGAGAGGACCAGAGTTCACCATGGCCAGGATTTATGAGCCAGACAACTTGGAGGAAGTGGTGATGTTACCAGCCAGGAACCACCTTCCCTGACTAGGACACAGGACGGGCCATACTGTGCAGAGCCCTGCACTGGGAGGGAACACATAGGTCTTAGATGCTTGGCAGCCAACCTCCCGGAGGCACTCATGGTCACCACTGAAAACAGGCAGGGTGCATTTGCCTTCCATCTGCTGCTAAGCTGGCTTTACTCCTTGCCTCGCCTAACCTCTCCCCAGGACAGCGCGGCACTTACAGAGACCCTGTCTACTTTATCAGGTAGTTGGGACCACAGGGTGGGGCTGGAGTTTCTTTCTTCAGTTTCTGTCCTCAGAGTGTGAGTGACCTTGGGCAGTTGCAGAGTGTTCCAGATCACTCACCCCGACTGGAAGCCCTAGGGTACAGCGAGCCTGCACTGTAGGCCGCTGTCTCTCCCACCTGACACTTAAGACCAGCCTGTGGCTACTACTCATGCTTTGCACATCTACCCTAGGGAACTCTGGGTATTTGTTTTGGTTGTGCATGTGTTTGTGCGTTGTGTGGATGTTCATGTGTGTGCATGTATGGGTAAACATGGGTGCATATGCATGCACATGCATATGGAAGTCAGGGCAATCCAAGGTTTCTTCAGGAGCCTCCCACCCTGTTTCATTTGGACATAGATGTCTCACTGGCCTGGAGCTCACCAAGTGGGCTAGTCTGACTGGCCACAGAGACTCTGCCTGTCCCTGTTCCCAGTGCTGGGGTTTTAAGCACGTATCAATGTGGCTGATTTTTTTTTAACCATGGTCCAGGGATCAAATTCATGTCCTCAGGTTCATACAGCAATCAATTTACACACTATTCTCTCTCAGAAGATAGCCTTATTATGTAGTGCAGGCTGGGCTGACCTCATGGTGCTCCTCCTGTATTAAGCTCTGGAGTGCTGGGGTTATGCTAAAACATTGCTTCTCCTTTTCAGCGGTGCTAGGGGCTGAACCTAGGCCGTCTGTAGACTGGGCAAGTGCACTCTACCATTGAGATACGTTCAAAGCTAGAAGCTTCGTCTTAAGGCACCCAAAAAAGCCAACACGGTGAAGTGGGCTAAATATAGAACTACTCCTGAACCTCCCACCCCTGCCCACTGCTGTGCCGCTCCTGAAATAGCCACAACACTCTGCATGCGCACAACTGCACAGCAGGCTGTGTGCTGGCAGGGTGAGGCCTAAGCTAGCGCTGTGGTCCCAGCAGCAACCAGAGCAGAGGAGACATTTTAGAATTGCAGCAGTGAGAAAGACAGATGATCAGTGGCTTTGAGGAGAATCAAGGGCCACAGGAAACATCTCACCTAGGGCAAGTGACTGCTGAATGGACATTGACCCCTGCTACAGCGGCAACTAGAACCCTGCAGAGGGTCCCTGTGGGCCTGGCACAGGTATGTGACCCATACAAATCACTACCACAGAGCACTCCTGTGGAGAGCTCCTGGCAACCTCCACACACCCAGCTAGATGCTCAGAAATCCCGTGTCACATATAGCCCAGGTACTGGTGGGTGGTATTCTGTACCACAGCAGGTAAATGGGAGCCTGTCTGCTGAGGCCACAGGTACACAGGGCATCAGGCTTCTGTGTTGCCAGAATCCCTCCCATACCTTCTGTCATGGAGCTAGCTGTGGGCTTAGAGGTCCCAGGAAGTCCTTTAAATGTTTCTGGCCCAGGGGAGGCTTTAAAAGGCCTATCCTGGGGCAGGGCGAGAAAACTAGGGGGTGTGTGGGCAGGCAAAGAGTTACTCTTGGGGTCCAGTGAAGGGATTTCATGTGGGAGTCTGACCTATACCCCTTGGGACATGATAACCCCCTAAGACCATGGGGCCCAGAAACCTCAATGCTATAGATTCCTAACCAATTCCCACTGCTTGGAAGGGAAACCTTAGAGGCTGCAGGGCAGGCGTGCAGGGGTCCTCCCCATTGTTCCATGTGTAGAGCATCACCTTCTCAGGAGCTGGTCCCTTACCAGTTTTGGCATCTGGCACAAGTGAAAGATGCTCCCGGGAGAAAGACTGTCTGGACAGAGGGGCCTCAGCCTTGCTCTAGCCCAGATCCGGAACACAAGCCCCTGACAGCAACAGGTGTGCTCGTCAGGGGCAGGGTGCCATCACAGGCAGCCTGGTTCCCCTCCAGGAGCTTTCATGGACACACACTGCTTCTAAAGGGTTGAGCCCATGGGGAGCCTTCTCAAGGATCAATCTAGAGCAAGTGTGACCCCCCATGGCACAGTACCTCCACTTCCTGTACACACCCACACTAGCTGTACCCCAATCCCTAGAGAGGAAATACACAGAAAGCAAAGTAACCAGGAGGTAGCCCTGGGCCCTACCACCTCTGCCCTGTAAGGGTGGCCAGCACTTACCGTACTGGACTTGAGCTCGTCCCCAGTCTCCTCATCAGACTCCAGTGCAACAGGCAGGGACTTCTGGGGTGGGGAGAAGGTCAAGTCCCAACGCAGCAGACGGGGCTCAGGCCGGTCCCCCAGCCGCAGGCTCTCTAGTTTCTGCACCGTGGGCTCTGCACAGGAGGCTGGCCTGAGGTTCTCCTTATTCTGGGACTTGGACCTCAGTCTCTGCAGCCCAAAGCCCCGGTCCTCCGAGCGTCGGTCTCCCCCAGCACCCCGACTGTGACGCCGTCTCTGGGGGTGTGTGTCCTGTGGACAGGCATCCATCCTTAGCAAGGGCTTCATCTCCAGCTTGTAGTTGCTCATCTGCTCCTCATCAGGCTCTGACAGCTTGGCGCCCCCAGCACAGGAATTGCCTGCCCGGTGGTGAGAAGTCCACGAGAATGTGGTGGGGGACTCCGTCCGCCGCTCCCGGGGTTTGGGGTTCCCAGGCTGCTTGTGGCCCGAGCCCCGGGTGCGGAAGTCTTCAGTGGGCTGACCGCTGCGCAGGGCAACACTGCGGACGCCCCTAGAGGCCCCAGCCTTCTCCTCGCCCCAGCTGTTGCGGGCATAGTCCCCTCCGCGGCCCTCAAGGAGCATCTGGATGTCCCCGCTTCGCTCCTCATCCACTGAGACCTGCCTGGAGAAGTGGGCCATCTTGTTCCTGGAGGCAGGAGCTGGCGGAGGGGTGGCCGTGGGGCTGGCGGGAAAGCTCTGCAGGGGGCTGTCATCGGGGGTCAGATCTGAAGGGGTAGTGCCCTTGCGGTACAGCTCCGGGCTCTCCTGCTGCAGGGGTGTCCCGGTGGAGAGCACCTCGATGTCATCGCAGGACATCTGGTGCTTTGGCCTCTGGTACTCAAGCCCTTGGGTGGGAAACAAGAGCACATGGGTTACATGGAGCCCGTTGCAGAGAGACCTTATGCCAGTGTGGAATGGGTCACCCAGCAAGGATAATTGGCAGGGCTTTAGAGCCTGGGCACTTCTTGTCACTAGAGTTTCTTGGCTGAACATCAGGGACCTGGAAAGTCAGGGCATGAGCCTGCAGGTGGCCCTGTGGCCTTCCTCACAAGGGTGAGGCCGCTTGCCCATTAGCCCTGCACCTTGGAGGGAAGCTTGTGCCTGGCTGCCACTGCCACGGGGGCCATTCCCGGCTAAAATTGGCTGCAAAGCATATGCTGTCCTGGAAGACCATTATGAAGACCACGAAGGAACCTGCGGCAACCGCAACATAATCCCAGGGCTGTCATCTCGCCTGGTGTCCTAGGTACATGGATGTGCAGGCTTTAGGGATGGGTGTCAGCTTGAGTATCCTGGGTTCTTCTCGGACTCATCCTGCATCCCCTCTTTCCATCCCTGTGGCCTCAGACATTCTCAGAGGAACTGACGGCTGGGGTCTTCCCCGAGCAGCCAGACCACAGGAAGATAACCTTCTGCCCCAGCTGAAACACTTTGGTAATGTTTTTAGAGGCAGGGCTTGTGAGCCAAGGCCCATTCTAAATGTCAGTCCTGCCACCGTCTTAACAGGAGGTTTATTTTGCTAAGAGAACACAACAACTGCTAGCGTTTGCGGACCAGGGAGGGGGACACTTAGCACTCAGTCCCCTTACAGCATGGACCCACTGGCTACTAATGCATTCTAGGAAATGCCCTGATGTGGGGAAGTGAATCCCAGAAGGGATTTAAGGGCGCCTGGTAGTAACAATGCAGCCTCCCAGGCAGCAGACGTGGCCAGAGACCACAGGGAGCAACAGCCAGGAAGGGCCCCTGCATCAGCCAAGTCCCATGGTCTCGCCCCATCCCAGTGAGGGGCAGCTGAGGTACTGTGAATTGAAGGCCTCCCTCGTAGATGTTTCTCAAGGAGGCAACTCTGAACAGAAAGCAGACATTAGCTGAGGCTTCCCTGGCAGAAGCAGTACCCTGGACCAGTCAGCTGATTGCTCAAGACCTACATACACGGGGCGTAAAGCAACACATCTGGTCTCTCGATGTCTGGTAGTCAGAGGTCCAAAGTCGAGCTGGGGCCAGGGATGGCTCCTATGGGTTTTGCCCAGGCTCCTCAGAGCATCTGGTGGACAAATCCGCTGGTCATCATTCCACACACAAGTGCCTCAGACAGTAATTGTGTCCCCTCCAACCAAAGCTCCTCGGTAGGACCAGCATTCAGGGCTGGAGCCTGGGGACCCCGGGGGATTATTAGCATGTTTGTCCATCTACATATTCTACACGTGGCTCACCTGGCTTGGGGTCAGTCAGGTGCCTAGCAGTCTGAATGTGGGGCAGATGGCCTGTGGCCACCTCAGTCTCAGGCAGTCAGGTCCTCCACTGGGGACCATGATCTTTTCTGACTTTCTTTTTAAGCTGGGAGAGGCTGGGTGAGAGTTAGTGGGCCTCCCCCTTATATCAGAAACACCTGAAGGAGGTGCTGGTGGTCACAGAGAGACACCAGAATGGGTCCCAGGCAGAGCGTTAGAAGGAGACAGCAAGACTCATTTGACCTAGCTAGGCCCAGCACCAGCTTCGTGAACTTTGCTCCTCAGCCTGGACCCAGAAGCTGCTTTATCACCATGTGAGAACACAGATTGGACGTGGCACACCCTAGTCCTGTAGCTTCATTCAGTCATCTATTCTTACCCTTGTATACAGGAGCTGGGAGCAGACAGGAGGGGCTGTGACCTCCACTCTGCCTCCAGGCTCTGTGGGACCGGGATGCTTCCCAGTGAGGCTGGGTGGATGCAAGGTAAAGCTGGGTGTGCTGAGGTTGGGTGCACACAGCACAACCCTACTACACTGGACTGTCCCACACTGGAGGGAAAGGGCAATGACTTTTACAGGACACGGCACAATCTGCTCATTAGAGGTTCTCCAATCTGGCAGCCACTGGTCGTACATGGCTGTCTGCAGTTCATCGAGTGTGCCTTAAGGTTAAATACAACTCAGCACAGAGGAGGTTGAGGCAGGAGGATTGGAATGGGCTAGCCTGGGCTACAGAATAAGCTCTTGTACTAGAAACAAGGAACAGAAATTACTGAATGAGACTATCTTCAGCCCTCCGGCGACTGAGCCACCACTGCAGATGGCTGTAGAATCGCATCAGAAGCCCAGAAGAGGAGCAGCAGCGTCCACACACACAGAGCACTTGCAAACAGACACAGAAGCCCATGCACACCCACATGTGCTTGCTGAATCGGCTTCAACAAGGCACATCACTGGGAAGGCATTAGCTCTGGGTGACAACCAGGCCCAGGTGGCATCAGGAGCCACTGCCCAGAGCCCTGCCCCTCATGGCTCCCACTCAGCCAGGGCCCTGCCCCTCAGAGCCACCAGCTCAGGCAGAACTCACCGTTTTCCCTGTGCTGGAAGGAAGGCGAGAACTCTTTGGCAGTGATCCTGGCGATCCGAGCTTCCTCCTGGGCTTTTTGAGCGGCCGTGAGTGCTGCCTCAGCCTTGGCCCGCGAGTGAGAGGTCCTGGGGGAGACAGGAGGCAAAGGGTGAGAGCGCTGAGTGCAGACCCAGAAGGGACCCTCTGCAGTGAGCATCCTGGGTGTCTAACCCCAGATACTGTTCATTCATTTAGTCACTCAACAAACATTCCTGGACCAACCAACAAGCCTTAGTACAGCAGCCTCTGGAGAAAGTGTGGTGTATTTCTTTTTCTTTTTCCTTTCTGTATATGGGTGCCTTACCTGCATGTGTCTGTACATGGTGTGCATGCAGTGCCAATAGAGGCCAATCGGAGTTGCCGGCAATTGCAAATCATCACGTGGGTTCTGGGGACTGGGCCTGGTTCCTTTGCAAAGGGCAGCCAGTGTTCTAACCACTGAGACATCCTGATGTTTTTTGCTTGTTTTTCGAGACAGGGCTTTTTTGTGTAGCCCTGGTTGTCCTGGAACTTGCTCTGTAGACCAGGCTGGCCTCAAACTCACAGAGATCCACCTGCCTCTTCCTCCCAAGTGTTGGCATTAAAGGTGTGTGTAACCACTGCGCAGCTCCCTGGTTTGTTTGTTTTTAAATATTGTATTTTTAGGTGTGTATGTGCATGAGAGAGAGGGGGGAGGGAAGGAGAGAGGGAGGGAGGGAGGGAGAGTCAGGGGTTACATATTGGGGAGAACAGGGTGTCAGATCCCCTGGAGCTGGAGATGCAGGTGGCTGTGAGCTCCTGGACGTAGGTGCTGGGAGCAGAACTCAGGTCCACTGGTGGGCAGTACACACTCTTAGGCAGTCCTAGAATATGTATTTTTATCAACAAACACCCCACGCTGTGGAAACCTAAGCTGTGGAAATGATGGCAGGTCACCAGTGAATCCATGCTACATGAGCTGTCCCCCAGGCTTCAACCAGCCCTGAGTGGGGGTGAGGAGGTTCCTGCTCTGGCAGAGGACACGGGACACTGCTTGGTGATGGATGGGCCGGGACCTGTATCTACTCCTCTAGGTCGGCTTGTGCAGAGGCTGGAATTCCAAGGCAGAACGCAGTGCTCCTCATGGGCTCCTCCTTCCTCCTGGCATGCTGATTCTAGGACCGGGTCATGCCACACATGAATACCACCTCCCCAACGCTGGAAACAGTGGTCCCCAGCCCCTGAGATCAAGGTGGCACTCTCCTAACAGGTCTCCTGCCTGTGGTTGAGGTAACCACAGAGCAAGCAATAGGGTGACAGTAGCTTTCAATCAAAGTTATCTTCTTCTCAGTTCTGAGGATGGATGCCCAAAGTTAGGATGCCATCTGGGGAAGACCCACACAGATGGTTCCTTCTGGCTGTGTCCATGAAGGAAGAGATGGTCCTAAAGGGCACTAATGCTATTCTTGATGGCCCCACCCACTCCAATAATCTTATCATCTCCCAGAGATGGGCTCCCAGAACAAACACATGGAAGACCGCGTTTCATCACGCAGCTCTCGGGCACAGTTTCTGCCCAGCAGCCGGGTTCCCATGTCTCACAGCACCCTTTGACTGACTCCACAGCACGTGTGGAATAAGGCCTCTGATCCTCCCCTAAAGGCATCCTTGGAGCATGTGCTGGGTGCCCAGGATGCACCTCGGACATGTGACCGATCAGAGTACTGCTGGTTATGGAGACTACAAAGGACACCATCCAGTGTTATGGGAGAAACAACTATGCCTTTGGTTGCCAGCACTGGTAACACAAGACCAAATGGGTTCTGGGCAGAAAATGATGCTTGAGGTGGGGGACACAGCTTAGTGCTGACAGTTTGTGGCATTGTCTGGAGTGGGGGGCTAAGATTCCCAGGGTGTGCTAAAACTCAAGTTGCCACTAAACAGCCAGGTGGATCAGTTCCAAGTCCTCAGGTCACCTGACACCTGTGTTTCTCCCGTTCCTGAGAAGCTGGGTCTAGGGACTGGGGAGCAAAGGTGCAGACCCTTCCTGGAACCTTCTGGGAGGGGCCAGCCCACCCACCTCGTCACATCCTGAGGAGTCCACTCTGACTGCTGCAGATTGTGAGTGCAAATGTCTTGTTTAAGCGGCTGAGCACGTGTGGCACTTTTTCAGGAGCCACAGGAAGTCAGTCTGCATCTTGGCTTTCCTGGCCCCTCTTTGAGCCCAAGTCACTCTTCCATGGGACAGGCAGCTATGAGACTCTCAGAGCCAAGGCACTAGTAGCAAATCCACAAGGAGACTCTCCCTCGCCAATCCACCCCCATCCCCTTCACCAGCTTCGTTCACCAGCAAGGCCCAGAGCCTGGGACAGTGGTTTCTCCTAGACTCCCTGGCTCTCCAGGACAGTTTCCCATCTTCTTGCCTTGTGCCTTTCCTCTCCTCTGGCCAGATTCACCATGGATGCCTGGACACTGGAGTCAGACCCTGGGAGGCCCAGGCAGGCCTTTGGGGACCATAGGGGGGATTTTTATGTGGGAAGGCAGGAGGACAGGATCTTACTCCAAATTCATAATCCTCCTACCCCAGTGTTACAACTGCTGGGTTTACAGGGGTACACTGCCATGCTGGGATTACAGGGGTGTGCTGCCTGCTGGGTTTACAGGGGTACACTGCCATACCCTGAGACAGAATCCCTCTTGTTCCTGCTACTTGCCTAGAGCTGGTGTTACAGAAGCATGGTGGAGAGGGACACCAAGGAGACAGGAAAGCTCAGGTCTCCTGGTCCCTGAAGGTCAGGAGTCAGAGCAGGTCTCTGGGAAAGGAACTCCAGCTCCAGTCTTCCATCTTCCCTCTTCTGCTTCTCTGTGTTTGTAGGAAGTGCCTCCTCCCCCGACCATAGGAACTGAATTGTGTCTGGCCAGTGTCTCCCTATCTCTTATTCTGTATCGGCTCCTGGTCTGGGCTGGCAGGAGAGGGAGGGTAAAGGGTCATAGGCTCCCCAGCTCCCCTCCTCTGTCCCTTCACCCCTCTGGGATCTCACAGGATGGTACTGGGTGGCAAGTGTTTGCTTGAACCACAGGATGCTACAACCGTGTATGCTTCTGCGCCCCACCCCCCCACTGCCCACAGCAGCACTGCTTATGTCTACTTGACTCAGGAGCTCACATGCCCTTGGTTTATTCTCAGCAACAGATGCTGGGGTTCCTCCAGATATGGATCTCAGGGAGGGCCTGTTTCAACAAGATAGGTTTGTGCCTGCTAGGCTCTGGCTCTTCTTCCTGGAAGGTCGCTCCATCACCCACTAGCATGTGTCCCGCTAGCCCGGCTTATTGCCCCTCTCATGAAAACTACCGTCAGGTCTCCTCCTACAACCCAAGGCCTTTAGCACCCCACAGCTGAGATACAGGCCTCTGTGCACTGCCTCACATGCTGCAGAACACACACGGAGCAGCTGCTCTCAGAATGGCTGTCTTCACAAACCAGCAAGAGCAGCGTTGGCCTAGATGAACACCAGGATGCAGGCAGGGACACTGGTGCAGACCCCATCCCTCATAAGGCTACCTAAGCTCGATGGTTCTCTTAGCCTACCCTGCCACCCCCATGATTTGCTTTGTTTTGTTTCTTAAGGCAGGTGTCACTCTGTAGCTCAGGCAGATCTTGAATTCATAATTCTCCTGCCTCAGCTTCCCTAGTGCTACGATGTGTCATCCTGAGCTTTCCCTCTGTGGTTTTTTGTTTGTTTTGTTTTTTCGAGACAGTGTTTCTCTGTAGCTTTGGAGCCTGTCCTGGAATCTGCTCCATGGACCAGGCTGGCCTCAAACTTACAGAGATGTGGCTTTTTCTAAGAATAACCTTAAACTACAAAGGTCAGGTGTGTGAGAACAGGCTGCCTTAGTAGACAACCATGGTCTTGACCCAGGTATTTATGGCTGTGACCTTATTCAGGGAAGGTAAGGCTATCAGAATGGGCCCTAATCCCGCACACTGGTCTAAAGAGAAAACTTGAACATAGACAGAGGGAGAGCTCCATGAAAACAACAGGCCTGCCACCATCTAGAAAGGGATAGAGGCAGGACCAGGCTCTCCCTCACAGCCTGTCATGGAGTCAGCTCTATCGCCTTCATCTTGGATTCCTGTTCCCAGCATGATAGCAGAGTCAAGGCCCAAGATGGTAGCGCTACAAGATGACAGCCCCAGGAAGCAGTGTGTGACAGAGCTGTATCCACACATGGTCCACTTAAAGTAACACGTGGTCCTGATGGCTCAGAGATGCTTAGCCAAGAAGAGAATCCCACCCCTTCTCCGGAATCCAGGCTCCTAGAGATTCTACTGGGAATGCCCAGCCCCACAGCAAGTTTCTCTCCTTGGGCTGTTGTTGTCAAGACAACCCCACCTCCTCCAGGGAGGCTGATGGGGAAGAACTGTGCCCAGGCAGGGTGCTTGCAGGCCCTGCCCCCACACAGGTACCCACTGGGGACTAGACCCTGGGGACTAGACCCATAGTCTTGAGCATCTAAGTCTCAGGTCAGCCCTCAGAGACTGGACCAGGGCTTGCCAGGCCCTGTGAATAGGCCAATAACTCTTGGTGTTTATCCTGACAAGTACGGAGACTCTGGGCAGCCCTGACGCCAGGCACTGTGTATAGGAATAATGGCGAGGTTCTTATGTCATAGCCAAGGAGACTCAGTTACTCTGCCAGTGGGTGCTGCAAACTGCTGTGGTACTCCTAGACACAAGCCTTGGGGTATTTTCAGGGCCAGGTGTAGGACCAGGTGGCACACCCACTCTAACCATGCTTCCTCAGGAACTGACTGCTCATGGTGTTCATGCATGAGAACTGGAAGGAAGGGCTCCTGCAGCCTGCCTGCCAGGGACACAAGAAGAGGTTGATACAGACCCACTGGCACCCCCCCAGAGGCTGGAAGGTTCCTAGACATCCCCAGATCACAGCACTGTCCCTCCTCTCCCTCACTTTGTGACAGTCACAGGGTACGGTGGCTTGTTTGAATTTATCTTTTGGACATAGCCTTGCTAAGATGCCTTTCCAGGCCTTAAACATGGTCTTCCTGGCTAAAGCTTCCAAACTGTGAGCCTGTGCACCATGCCCCACCATAGCCACCAAGTGCT